TCAAATAAATAAATAAAATCTTAAAAAAAAAAAAGAGAACGGATCACCCGACAGTATCTCGGAAAAGGGATTATGGGAGTCTCACCTTCACAGGGTCTTCCAGAATATTCCACAGGGAAGCGGGGGGTGCCGCCCGCGCAGCTGCAGGTGAAGGAGCCCAGAGTGTTGCGACAGGACGCGCCCGGCTCACAGTCGTGCTCCTGGTTCTCACACTCGTCGTAATCTGCGTGACATCAGGAACAAGACAGGACATGGTCACGGGGTCACAGGGCCTGAGGGTGCTTCCGTGCTGCTATTCACACGGCCCCCCCCGCCGAATCTCGGGCGGCGGAGTTGAAAGTTATGGAGTGACCGCAGAGCTGGCCAGTCCAGGAGACAGGGAGGCACCTGCTTCTCGGCCAGTGTCTGGACCCCTCCGGGAGCCGCGGGGGAAGGAGGGTTCCTGGTCCCCGGGGGGCGGGGCGGGGCGCAGAGCAGCTCCTCAGGGGACCAGCAGGCCTGTAGCCCCAGCCCCTGGCCTCAGGCCTAGGTGTCCCCATAGCAAGCCCATCCCCGCAGAAGGCCCAATGCTCACTGCTTTCTTGGGTCTCTACGCTCAGCTACTCTTATTCACAGTGATACAGGTTTACTGCAGAAAATGGGTAAAAATCAGGCCCGCCTAGCAAACAGCACAATCCACACCTAAGGCCACCTCCCGCAAAGAACAGAGTTTGCACAGTGACGATGTCCTTCTGGTCCTTTAAAACACAGATGGTGACACAGCTTGGGTCATGCTTTCCCCACACACGCAAGTCCTGCTTTCTTCCCTAACCCCTGTTTCAGGAGTATTTCCTGTCTCACCGAGCCTCACTTTTAATAATTGCATGGCAGTCCACGGCACGGATGGACCATGATTTACTTACTATCTCCCCTATTACAGGACTGCCGGCTGCTTGCAATCTTCTACTTTTAAAGTAACACTGAGGGTGGGTATCTTTGCCTATGAACTATGGTCCAAACTGAGGTCGATTTCTGTAGGCTGAAGTCCTGCGCGTGATGTTCCCAAACCAAAGTAGGTGGACATCTGTAAAGCTCTTGGTGAATATCGTCAAATTGATTTCCAGGAAGTGCGAGCAAATCCTGTTCCCACTGCGAGGCCTGCTTTGGCCCACTCTGGCCAGTGTTAGGTGTTTCTGGTTAAAACCCCACTGCTCCCAGATGGACATGAGTGGCCCGTTTCAGTGGGAATGTCTGTGATTATTGCTCTTTGCTACTCATTGTGTCTCTTCTGTCCTGCGTTGTCTGTTCAGGTCTGGCGTGCACTTACCTTAGTCATAAAGATCAGTGCAGGCTCATAGTACCTTATTATTGACGTGTGGGATCGCTCCCTCTATTTGGGATGTAATTCTTCATCAGGTTATTCAAACAGTTCTGGGGTGTTGCTTTCTTCAAAATGGTGCCTTTATTTTGTTTAATATAAAAGGCTGACATTGTTATAGAGTCAAATATTTCAGCCTTTGCCTCTGTGGGCTGTTTGCCTTCTATTTTTAAACTTAGAAAACCTTTCTCATTCCAAAAACCAGAAAAATAACGTATATGGTCTCTGATGGTTTTTGTACACGTAACTCTAAGTTTTTTTTATCATTTATTTTCAAGTGTGATACGTGCTATGAACTGAATTGTGTCCCCAAAATGCATTCGTTGGGACACCTGAGTGGCTCAGTTGGTTGGGCATCTGCCTTCAGCTCAGGTCATGATCCCAGGGTCCTGGGATCGAGCCCCGCATCGGGCTCCCTGCTCAGAGGGGAGCCTGCTTCTCCCTCTCCCGCTCCCCCTGCTTGCATGCTCTCTCTCTGCCAAATAAATAAAATCTCTTTAAAAAATGCGTACGTTGAAGCCCCAGCTGCTCATGTGACCGTATTTGCAGATGGCGTGTTTAGGAGGTAATTAAGGCTGAATGAGCCCATAAAGGTGGGACTCCGACCCAACAGGGGTGGTGTCCTTAGAAGACAAGACACCAGAGCTCTGTGCTCACACAGGGGAAAGGCCAGAGCGAGAAAACTCTGTCCACACGTCAGGGAGAGGACCCTGCCCCAGAAAACAAACCAGCCGGCCCCGGGATCATGGACGTCCAGTCTCCAGAGCTGAGAATGTACACTTATGTTGCTTAAGCTTTCCCGCTAATGGTATTTGGTTACAACAGCTCGAGCTGACGAACACGACTTGGGGGAAGATGCTTTTCTTTTCCATTATTTTTACCAGGATCTCCCTGGAAACTGCCTGGGAGGAAGTGTGACTGCAGAGAGGGACAGGTGCATCCCCAGCCCAGTGACGTGGGTGGCAGAGGAGGCCCAGGGTGGGATGCGGCACCCGGAAGGGGAGCAGCATCTCTGGGCATCTGAACAGCTTCGAGCCAGGGTGTTTCCAGCCCCTAAACCTTTAGAAACAACACAGTAGCGGTAAGAGAGCTGAGGGTCCTATCTGCTCCCCACTTTCACCTCCCGCAGGGGGACCCCTGAGAGGAGGTGCACAGGACGACATCTTCCAAATGAGGGCAGAAGCTGGGCTCTCTCTGCCTCTCTTCCAGAACACGGTGAGTCTCCGGGGGGCCCGGCCTCCACCTACCCTGTATGAAGGTATCCCCTCCGACCACCTCCAGCAGAGACGCGTTCTGAAAGGCCACGAGGAACGCGGCGGACACCTCGCGGACATCCACGTCTGCGGTGATCAGCAGGTTAAACTCCACCACAACGCTGCCGTCGGCGATGCGGGTCACCTCCATCTGGACCCCGCCGGTGTCCACGAGCCGGAGCACGGCGGCTGGCAAGGAAGCCCGCACCTTTAGAGAGACCACAGATGAAAAGAGTCGCCCGCCGAGAGGAAGCCGGGCACCTGACCCAAGGGGCACCTCCTGGGAGTCTGGCCAGCAGCAAAACGGCCAAGACCAAGTTCAGTTCTAGGCCCTGGCCCGTGTGCCGTGTCCCAAGCCCAGCACAAGTGCCTGTGGGTCCTGAGGTCCCGGGAAGAGCCCCGTCCCCCAAGAGCACATCTGCTGGCCAGTGCGGGCAAGACGCAAAAGCCCTGTCCTGGGGGGGCACATCACCCGAGGTGGGGCTCAGGACGGCATTTAGAATCTGCTACTCTCAGCACGGAGCCATGGAGGGCGGGGGCTGGATGGGTGGTTGTGGGGGGGGGCACCTCTATCTCGCTGTGTGTTTTCTAAAACAATCCCTTTACTTCTGATCCTACAGAACATCTCCCCTTCCCTCCTTCCCCCCTTCCCCGAAACTGTTCCCCTGTGAGCCCTCCTGCCGCGACAGAAACCTCCTGCCTTGCTTTTCACTCTACCACCTTGGACAGAATCCTATCTCTCACCCTGTGGTACCCCTTCCTGGCCCCTCGCGGCCAAAATGCCCCGAGAGACACACGACTGTGTCGTGGCTTTAAATAGTCCACACAGCCCCAGTCTTCTATTGAAAAGTTTACCTCCAGGGTCTGGCTTCACAGAAAAACTTGTCCTCATCTGGGCCCAGTGAGGGGTGGTGGCTCAAGCCCCAGGCTCATGGATTCACTTCTCAGCATTGAGACAGCCAACGTGAGCAAATCTGCTGTCACCCCACGGTCACCCAGCCACCATCACCATCACTGGATTAGCTGGCTCTTCTCTGTCTCTGTCTCTCTCTGTCTCTCTCTGTCTCTCTCTCTGTCTGTCCTTCTCTCTGTCTCTCTTTTTCTGTCTGGGACTTCCAGAGAGGGATCTGTCATAGGCTTGGATTAAAGTCACTTTGGGTTGCACTTCGAATTAGTCTCAAAGCAAAGTTCCAGGCTCCTCACTTGAGTGACAAGGGACAAGGTGCCACATGAACCCACAACCTCCCAAAATGTGTCCAAAAGTCCTACATATGTGATAAGGTGCACAATTATTTGCTATCCTGAAATTCTAGACAAACCAACAATAGTCCCCAGAAGTAGGCAAGCGAGGACATGGTTTGAAGAGGAAGGATTCATCTAGACATTTGAATGGAAATGGGACGCTGCATGTGACCCCCAGGGCTCTGTGGGCTGATGCTCAGTGCTGTTGCTTAGTATTATGTGTGACCATCACGGAACCTAAAGAAGCCAGTGAATCGAACCATCAACAATGCTTGAATCCATGCACTGGGACAGGAGCTGGGCACCCAGAACAAATGAGGCAGAATCCCAGATCCCGAGGAGCCCCAGAGGGACACTTTCTGGAGGCAGCACGACCCATTTCATCAGCTAGTAATGCCTTTAGGGTAGAACAGAATGCAGGTATCACGCTATGGTGTGAGCACGATCCGCCTCGAGGTGGCGCTGCCAAACTCTCTCTCCTGGTCTTAAACCCCAGAGTGAGGAAAAGCTAAAATGGACAAGATGTCCACGGTACAAACAAGACCACGAGATCATGACTAGTGCATCCTCTACGCGTCAAAGGGGAATCCGACCTCCAGCAACAAAGAACATGGAGGTTGCCGCCCGGACTGACCTGTAAAAGGACACCATCTCTGGGAGTGTGCGTGGGACGGCAGGGGACGCACCAGAAAGATGAGGGAAAATATCAGTGCTGTATTCATGCTCGCCAGGAACTGCAAGCACCCCAATGCACCCCCGTGAGTGAATGGATGTGCAAAATGTGGTCCGTCCGTACGGTGGACAGTTACCTGGTCGTAAAGCGCCGTGAAGTCCCTGCCACACCCTGGACTGGGCCTGAAGCCCGTTCAGAGAAAGAAGCCAGACGCAGGAGGCCCCGTCTTGCGTGATTCTGGGCACATGAGACGTGCAGGGCAGGCAGATCCACAGAGACAGAGAGCACAGTGGCGGTTGCCAGGGATGCCAGGGGCGGGGGGCAGGGGGAGAGTCACAGGAAACGGGCGCAGGGCTTGTTTGGGGCGTGATGGGAATGTTCTGGAATTAGTGGTGACAGTTGCACAATTTCACAAATAAAACCTCAACCACGACACTAAGCACTTCAAAAGTGTGAATTTTAGGATGTGTGAAATAGATGTCAATTTTTTAAAACGTTTCCTTCGTCAGGCTTTCTGCTCCATGGGGCCCCACTTCGATAAAGGAGTCTCGCTCAACAGCTAACAGCGTGAAGGAGGACCCAACAGAGGACAGGGCGTGGCTCCCACTGGCTGATGTGTCTCGTGGCGGACCCAGGGACACCCAGCTCCCTTGGGAGATGAGGGCTCCCGAGCGCCTGCTTGGCTGTGACTGGGATTCTGCCCGCCTCCCTCGGCACCTCCCGAAAGGAAGGGGCGGTTTCCCCAACTCACCATCCTAAAGAATCGCTCCTGGAAGTCCCGATACTCCTTGCTGCTTGGGTTGCGGAAGGACTCCACGTAGCTGACGTCTGCTATTCTGACTTGGCCTCTGAGTTTCTGGGCCGCTGCAGGACAGAGAATAAACACGTCTGGAGCGGCAACGCATTAGGTGACGGGAAAAGCGTTAGGTCATGTATTCGGGAACACGTCTCCATATCGACTTTTTCGTGGTGGCCAGAAAGAACATCACATCGAGGCTGATGGTGCCCGGCCCGCACAGACGCCGCCCGCCGACCCCAGAGGATGCCGGCACATGGCCTGCGCCCAGAGGGAGAACCCCCTGGAGGCTGTGGAACAAGAACAGCCCCTCCGCTCACCTCCCCGCCCCTGTGTGGCTCTCTGTGCACACGCGGCGTCTGGGTGATTCACCAGCAGGGACAACGTTGATAGTGAAAGGAACCACTATCCGTTCATTATGCCAGGGCCACAGGAGTACCCCCGGCTGTCCTGGGCAGATCGAGGCGTGGGGCAGCCTTGCCCCACCACTGTCAGAGCCTGCAGCCCACAGGACAGTGCCCAGAGGTCCTGATGCTCTCCTCCCTCCCCCTAGAGCACTGTCTCTCTGCGGCTTAAGGGCAGTCCCTGCTCCATCAGCATCTCTTCCCTCCACTTGGGGCTTCTAGGAGGCCGTGGTACAAGAATGTGGTCCAGGAACATTGCCCGTCCTTGCACACCATCTGCCCTCTGATTTCCCAGTTCACAGCTAATCAGTACTTTAAGGGACACAGACAGAAGCTGTACGCTCTTCTTACTGGCACCCCCAAGGGCTGTGCACCCCACCTTAGAGAACCTTGCCATCAGCCCTGAGACAGCTGCCCAAGATCTGAGGACCCATCTGCAACATCAGCCAGCCCTTGGCCGTTCGAGCAAGTTAGACATTCAGGAAAACATCTGGATGACAGGTGCAAAGGAGGAGAAACAAGGGATTTATCTGAACACAGAATGATCACAACTATGATAGCTGAGCCGTCCGACTGTCTGACTTCCCACTGTCTACCTGTCCTTCCTAGAAGCCAAGTCCGGGTCCGCTGAGAGCGGGAACAATCAGAGGGCGTGCAGAACGCTCAATACGCCAGCACCACACGTGTTTTCCGGCGACGTACCGGCGAGGACACGGGGCAGCAAGCGGCGGCCACCTCTGCGGGCAGAGTCCTGAGCGCTTTGCGCCCCTGCGTTGCCCAAGGTCTGCCCCTCGCCCTTCCCTGAAACTCGCTGCCTCCTGGCTGCTCTTCGCGAGCCAGCCCCAGGTGAGCGGAGCCAGCATTCCTAGGTCGGTAAGAGGCCAGAAACCCAGCCGCTCACAGAAGAATCCAGCTCTTTTGAACCTGAACGTGCTGAAAATCGTTCTCATACTTGCTCCGTCCCTTTAAGAACAAGCGGCAACAAGCGTTTCTGAAACCTATTACCTGTCCTCACTTTCAGGCGGGCCCTGGCACTTCCTTTCCCACAGGCTTCGGCCGCTATCTCGACCAGGTGCAGGACGCCAGGCTCCAGTCCCGACAGCGTCAGGCTCGCTTCCCGGGTCTCCAGGTGCACCGCGGGGCTCCGTGTAGGGAGCACGGTGAGCTGGAAGGTGGGGTGCAGGGCAAGATCCGCCGCCCACGCCACGTGGAAGCTGGTGCTGGTCACATTGGAGATGGTGACCCTTTTGATGGGGACGGGAACTGGGAAATGCATAGAAACACCGAGAAGATTGAAATCAATCTGATGTTTCAAGGAGAGAGGACCGGAGAAGCCTTGCCAAACGCTAAATCAAATACACTGCTCAGGGACACGAGAGGGCATCCAGAGACGCCAGCCGGGGACGTCCTTCGAAGTCCCCTGCTGCTAGCCATGCGTGTGGTGCAGGCTCCCCGGATGGCCCTCCTGAGCCCCTTCCGATTTGGGTTCCTCTCTGCGACTGGGGTCCCTGGTCTTCCCCAAAGCAAACCTCCTGAGCAGATTCTGGGCGGCTCTTCCAGAGGGGGTACACCTCCACCCCTGAGCAGACTCATAGAGGGGTCAGCAGAGGGGGCCCCGGCTGGCCATGGAGCCACTCCTGCAGGGTGATCCAGGGGCGCTCGACAGCCCTGGCTTACTGGGGCGTAAAGTCTCGTCTTGGAACCCACGCCGCTCAGCAGAGGGCATGCACTGCTGGAGCTACGTCTGGTTAGCTACGTTAGTTCTGTTTGGTTCTGTTAGTTCTATCTGGATGCGACCCCGGGTCGGGCTAGCGCAGTGAGCTCAGAGATGCCAGTGTGGCCTCCCCTGTGGGAGCTTTCCCACGCAGGGCTGTCCCCCACAGCGCTGCCCCGCGACCTTGGCAATGGCTAAGCCCTCTGTGTGGTGTCAGTGCGAATCCTGGGGGTCAACCCAGTGGGGGGCCTGCACCGGGCTCGAGGGGCCTGCGCTGCTGGGGAGGCGTGCAAATGTCGGGGTGTCCAACACTTCTGGGGGATGTCCCGCAGTGCTTAATGGAATACATGCACCCCACAGGCTCTCCTGAGGCCCGACTTCCTGCTCCTGCTATGGGCAACCAGAAGGCTTGGGGACAGGGAGGAGAGGACCGCAGCACGCTCGGGGACCAGGTTCCCGTCCTAACAAGACAGAGGCCACCGCCAGGGCCGGGGCTACGCTGTACCCCGCCTGGCCCAGCCGTACAATGAACAATGCACCTGACTCTTCTCAAAGGTCTTGGACTCAGTGACTATGTGAGGCTTTGCCAACCGGCACTCAACGGTTCCCCGGTGTGCTGGGGCCTCAGGGCACACATCCCCTAGGACACGCCACCCGAGGCACTCACCACAGGCCGGAAGCTTCAGAGACTCAGGGGTGGGGGCTGAGGGTAGGTCTGGGGAGCTGGATGGCCCAGGGTCCAAATGCTGTGGTCCCGTGTGGTCCAGAAGTGCTGGTGGTGTATTCCAAGTGGGCAGACTGGTGTGCCACTCGATGTGGTCTGTGGGGCCCTCGGTAGGAGTGAGCCAGAAGGACGGTTCCGTGGTGGAGTTTCTTGACAACCATCCAGTGGTGTCCAGCAAGCCCTTCATGGTCCCAGGAGGGGAGCCAGGGGTTGTCCCGGGAGCCCTGCTGGCCGTCCACTGGCTGGTCACCGAGCCTGGAGCCATGCTGGGCATCTCCTCCTCCACACCTTGCCCTGTGCTGTTTCTGTCCTGCTTGACCACACCGCTGCCCCCTCTCCTGGGTGGGGGTCCTGGGGTCTGGGCCTGGCCTGCTGCAGGGATGCCCCAGGGGTACCCAGGGCTGGGCCACAAGGCGGGAGTCTCCCGGCCAAGGGCTGTTGTTTCTGTGCCGAGCTCTGGGGCTGTTACACCTGTTGCCGGAGCCAGGACACCTCCCGTGGGGTTCACCACGTCACCTGCTGAGACACACATCCACTCTCAGAGGGGACACCTGGTCGACAAACCCTAAGCAAAACCCACCTGATGCCACCCACGGGCAAGAGCCACCCAGGCAGGCCCCAAATAGGGACATAGTCTGTCTCACTGGAGATCATGGGATTATGAATGTTTAGTGGGGCCCATGTCCACAGCCCCCCACATGCTCTCGGAGAGGGAGGCAGGGCCCCTCCACTTGATAAATGAGAGCTCTCAGATGTGCCCGGGTGGAGTGCCACCCAGGATGCCGCTGAGCCAGGACGTAAGTGCAGGCCTCTGTTCTTGCAGGCCTCAGATGGATCCATCAGGCCCTTGCGGAAATGGGGCAATTTCTCTAGATCTGGGCTCGGTGCAGGGCTTGGTGCTGAGCACCGTCACTGGCCTGCTGGGCATTACATGCATAAGGAAAGCATGCAGGACAGCAGCCTGTGGATATGAGAAAGGATATGGGATATCAGGTCCCTGGGATGGGGGCGCACCCTCACAGGCCCGGCCCGCACGGGACGGGTTGGCGTCCCTGGCCGTCCGGCACCGACAGGTGTAGGAGCCCTCGAGGTTGATGCACTGGGCAGCGGGGGAGCAGTCGTGCCGCAGGCTGTCTGCACACTCGTCCCAATCTGCGGGCGGGCAGGAGAGAAACAGGACAGAGACAGTGAGAAATGGCCAGGGGCTACTCAGAAACAGAACAGCAGCGGAGCAGAGCTCTTCCCAAGCATCTCTGCAGCAAACAGTCGGAGGGATGACGTCTGGGAGTCAGTGGTGTGCCCTTGGCGTCTGGCGGCCCTGGGAGGGAGGCCCCGCACAGAGCCCTCCCCAGAAGTCTGCCCTGACCCAAGACAGCACATGTGCCTGTGCCAACCTTCACTGCCGGCTGGCTGATTTGGGGGCAAAGATTAGGGAATGTCGGTTCCTTCTGGAGAAATTAGCACCCACTGGGATGAATATATTCCTCTCTTGTTTATTCTTTGTTCCCAGACCCCCCAAAATGGGATGCTTTCCCTTCTCTCTGATGTGCCAATATCCCCTAACATTTAGCACTTCAACAAAGAAAAGTAACCAGGCCCGGAGGAGTCTGGTTAAGTATAAATGCCCCCCCGCCCCGGTCTGGGAAACTAAGAATCCCAAAGACCCCACGTCACCGGGAACCCGTCTGAGCTGAGCAAGGAAGAGCGTTAGGTGAGTGAGTCAACCCCCTCCGGGGCCCCCCAGTGCTGGCTCACACACCACGCCCACCACAGCCCGGGAATTTCCAACCAGCGGCAGCCGGGACTAGCATCAGCCAAACCCTGAAACTTCCTTCTCGGGGACCCCCATTCCCTTCCTTCTCCGGCGCTCTCAAATCCCCTCTCCCTCAGGTGACTGCCACCCCCACTCTCGTAAGGAAACACCTGATGGTCTCTTGCATTTTGACACGTGACTGATTGACGAAGTGCTACGTGTAATACGTGTGATAAACCTTAAGGAATAAATATCTCCAGCTGTATTCCAGGCTAGGCGGAGCTGGGGGCGGGGGCGTGGTTTTCCCACCCCGCAGAATCATCCTTCAGATCATCCAGGGGAGCGGGCTGGGCTGGGCTGGGCTGGGCGGCCCGTGCGTGCCCAGGCCGGTCACGACACCCTCTGCACCAGCTTCCCCAGAGCTGTAGGAAGAAGAACCCGATCCATGCTCGGTGTGCCGGAGGAGCCCGGACTCAGCCCGGATTGAAGTCAAGACAGGGCACAAGTTCAGTTTTGTGCAGAGAAAACTCTGCAGCCATGGCTCTATGCTCCTGTTGTGGTTTTCAGTTTTGCTTCACGTGATCTTCACGGACGCTCACGGAAATAGCTCCCTGAGACCAGCAGGCTCATCAGCTGATGCAACGCTTACCCCTCCACACCCCACCCCCCCCACCCCCCCGCCCGGGGCTCCTTCACACACAGGGCCCTGGTGCCCCGGTCCCCTGGTCTTCCCGGAGCCCTGCCCCACCTCCATCCTGCAGGCAGCTCGAGTTTGGGGGATGGAGCCCAGGCTGGCCGGGCAGCAGGGCCCTGAGGAGAGCGGAGCTCCCACCACTGAGCACCGGGTGGCTATTTTTAGGCGTGGTGATTCACCGAGCCTTAGCTCCCCCGGCACCCAGCTGGCAAGCAAGCCCAGAGTCAGGCACGGACAGCTTCGCTGGGGGTTGCATGAGAGCCCCAGGCCAGGTGGTTCTGGGTCTGGAGTTCAGAGGGAGGAAACAGGTCTGCGGTGAGAGCTGCCAGGTGGCCTCGGCACCTTCTGGACCCGCCAGCCGAGGACGCAGGCAGGGGCCCCGGGCGTGGGGCGGCGCTCTGCGCCTTCCAGCCGGGCCGCTGGGGCAAGGATGAGCAGGCCCCTGGAGGGCGTGGCTTGTAGGGCGTGCCCCTCGCTGAGGGTGCTGCTCAGCGAGGGGCACGCCCTCCTGGAGGAAGACCAAGGACACGTGGCCACCCAGTGATGCCCCCCCAACAGATGGGCCTCAGGGAGAAGCTGAGGTCATGACGACGTGACCCCCCACGCTGTAGGACATGTTGACTCATGGCAGGCGAGAGCCCCCGAATCACCCAGGAATGCTCGAGGCCGCCAACAATAGCATTTCTGTGTGAGCCACAGAGGAGGGGAGCTCTCTGGGCTGTGGTTTGTTGGCCTTCTGCGGAATGGCTTTGCTTGTGCTTCTCTGGTTTCCCGCCCGTGGGGCTGGGGCGCTCCTGGGGAGGGCTCAGGCCTGGGCTGCCTGCCTGAGTGGGGGCTGTGGCCGGGGGCGGGGGGCGCTGCCTGCAGGCTAAGTTGACAGCAGCCAGCGGTCACCGGGTCAGAAGACCCTGCACGGGGCCCGGCGCCCCCCGCCCCAGGTGCTGGGCAGAAGAGGAGTCCCGGCCCCCGGGGGGGGCCTCCCACAGCCGCCCCTCAGCAAACAGCCCGCCGTCGGGCAGGGAGCCTGCAGGGCGAGAGCCGGGGGGGCTCATAACTGCGGAGGGGCTTCTGGAACCTCACGGGGACACACAACGGGACCTGCTAACAGCCCTAGAACGTTAGCGATGCAGACCCTCTTCTTCCTGTGCATTACTTCTTGGAGGCCCCCTTCAGATCCTCACAAGCTTCCAGGCTGGGGGGAAACCACGGGGCTCATTCCCACACTTCTAGAGGCCGAAGTCCAGAGTCAAGGTGCGGCAGGGCCTCGCTCCCTCTGGGGCTCTGGGGGAGCGTCCTCCCAGCCTCTTGCAGCTTCTGGGGCTCCTGGTGTGCCTGGGCTTGTGGCCTCCAGCCTCTACCTCTGCCTCCATGTGGCCTTCTCCTGTATGTCTGGGTCTCTCCTCCTCTGCGTCTCCTAATTTAGGGCCCTCCCCTGATCCGGGACGATCTCAGATCCTTACCTTAATTTTATCTGCAAAGACCCTTCCTCCAAACAAGTCTGAAGTTCTAGGTGGGCATTTCTTTTGGGGGCCACCACTCAACACACTGGCAAAGATCTGGAGTAACTTAATGGCCGGTGCACGGGGACAGGGCTGGGAAGTAGCACGTAAGGGGTGGCTGGGTCACCTGAAGATTGCTCGGATCTGGTCTTAGTTGGGTCCTGGGGGTGCCTGCTGAGGACCCACCCACATGGCACCCTGTGCCTCCCTGCACTTAGCCCCTGAGCCCAGGTAAGCAGGCCTCCCAGGTGCAGGGGACCACTGCCATCTCCATCCCTGAGGGTGAGTGACAGAGCGATGCCCACGCTCAGCAGGCAGGGGTTTTCCAGGTGTGACTCCAGATGTGACCTTCCCACGGCCTTCCCTGCATCCTTGGGGGCGGGGGGGTTGGAACAGCAAGCCAGAACATGACCAAGCTCAAAGGAGGTGACAGCCCACTCTCGGATACCCGTTCCCCAGACGGAGTCCCGGGCAGGCTCGCTGACGTGGAGGCTGCAGGTGCTCTCGCTGCGTGGAACTTCATCCCTGGGTTTGAGTGGCAAAACCTTTCTTATGCATCAGCAAGTCTCTCTGTCTCTCTGTGCCTATCTCTCTGACTCTCTGTCTCTGTCTCTATCTCTGTCTCTCCCTATGTCTATATCTCTGTTTCTGTATCTCTATGTCTCTGTTTCTCTCTTCTCTACCTCTATTTCTGACTGTGTCTCTCTCCTCCCTGTCTCCACCCCACCCTCCTCTCTCTCTCTCTCTCTGTCTCCAGGTCTCTCCCCCTCCCCTGATCTGTGACTTCCTGCCTCAAGGCAACATCAAGTAAAATTACATAACGTTTGAGCCAAAGAACTAGACGCCCGCGCCAGCAGGTGGTACAGTGGCAATGCTGGGCCCTGACGCAGAGTCAGCCCCCAGTGCCCGTCCCCTCCAGGGTCCTCCAGCCCCACCCCACCTCGCATTCTGGGCCACCTACGGAAGCGAGCTCCCCAGGCTCTGGGGTCCCTTTCCCACCCGGAGCAGGGAGGTGCGGGATGCAGGTGGGCTTCCAGATCCCAAGCAGGAACACAGAATAAGGCTACGAATTGCATGTACTTGATCACTCTTTTACAGTAAAGTAAACGTGGACCTGAACTAACGCGGCTGGCCGGCGGCAGGCTTGGGTGTGGAGGGGAACCGACCTTGCACGCGTGCCTCCCGTGGGTCGATCTGGAACAGCGTGCTGGCCAGCAGAGGCGGGAGCATGGGGGCCAGCGTGGAGAGTCCCACTGGGAACTCAGGGTCCTGAACCGTCAGCCTGAGCGTCACCAGCACGCTTCCGGCCTGGAGAGAGACGATCCGCATCCTCAGCTTCCCTCTCCTGTACAGGTCGGACACCGCGGGCGGGAAGGAGTTTGCAACCTAGCCAAGAAGAGACAGCAGCCACTCAGAGCAGATGCTCCCATCAGCGTCTTCAAAACCGGGATGCGGGGCCCGTGTGACGGACGGATGGTGCACAGGATCTGTCCCCTCCACGACCAGGAGGAGGTGCCCAGCAACCAGCCTCTCGGGGACAAGCAGAGACACCCGGCTCCCCGCACCCCAGTCAGGCCTACCCAGGGACAGCCGGGCCGGGCCTGTAGGTCTTTGTGAGAATCCACGGTAAGCTACAATTGGGCTCCCCATCACGGAGCCGGACACGCACAATCCACTCTGTGTACCCTGAAAATCCGTGTGCAGGTAACGTGTGTGTGAGACAGACAGACCGTGAGGGGCTATTTGGAGCTGCCCCCTTTCCTGGCTGCATCCCCGGGGAAACACCGGGGCGAGCAGGTGCTCAGGGCCAGCATGCCGAGCGAGGGAGACCAGCCTCACCCCGCCCCACCCCCACACCATGCCTGCATGAGCACGAGAATCACCAGGCAGGTGAATGAGGAGAGACACCCTCCTTCCGCCTGTCCCACGTCTGCACATCTTGCAAGCAGAAGCGCTAACTGTCCCTTGGCTCCAAAGTCTCTTTCCAAGACGTTTGTGGGGTGAACGACCTCAGGAGAGAGACAGCGGCCCCTCCAGAGCAAAGGGCAGATTGTTCATGTCTGCTGCCATAAAGACAGTGTCTCTTTCTGGAGCCACGTTCAGGCAGATTCGCTTTCGGCCCTTTACAAGATTCCGTTTCCCTCAGCTCGGGGCTCCTCGGCTGTGACGCAGACCGCTGTGTGTGCCCCCCAGCCTCCCCCCGGTCCCTCCATGTCACCCCGTGGGACTCGCGGCCCAGAGGGAACTGACACTGGTGTGATGGTCCTGCCGACTGCTCTGCTGTGGCGGATCAAGTCCTCGGTCTCTGACCCCAGGACCCCAAGTCCTCCACCAGCACCAGCCGACAGGAACACGCTTACTTACCAGTTGGCAGGAAGGATAAAATCTTAGACCATTCATGGTTCTCGACGGTTTAGCAAGTCCCTTTGCTCTCTAATTGGCCTGTCACCCAAAGGTCCTCCCGGGCTGCGTGCTCCTGTCCCCTGCTAGCCTCGGGGAGGGATGGATGCCACGATCCCGGGTAAATGCCACCCCAAAGCAGGGAGGTAGATAGATGCCCAGGGCCCCAAATGGAAGGTTCCACAGGAAACCCGGCTGCACCATCAAGAGCCCATTTGAACCAGAGCATGGTTTTCAAAGACGGTTGGCCCCAAATCTAGATGCAGTGCCCCGTAAGGGGGCACGCTTGGGTAATCAGTGCGGGGTCTGGGCTGGGGGGCGCAGTCGCAGAGAAGGGGCCCGGTGCCGGGGCTGGTGCGTGCATGAGCGCAGGTCTCTCGCTCGGACGCCCCCATGGGGCAACGTGTCTGTGCTCTGGCTTTACCTCTCCGAGCAGCTGTCGAGAAAAGTCCCGGTACTCGGGGCCGCTGTGGTTGAGCAGCTCTTCTGTCGCATTGCGGTTCAGGACCCTGACAGTGACTTCGAATTCGCGGGCGTCTGCAACGGCAATAACACACAGTAGCCAAAATCGGAGACCCACAGTCACACGCTTTGCTGTCCCTGTTCCCCAGAAAGTGTCTTCTTCTGGGGGGACGTTTGTTAGGTCCTCCGTGACAGACGGAGCAGGAGTCCGGGATGGGGAGCCGCGCTGGGGGACGTGGAGGGAAGGAGCCCCCTGACACACACACACTTCTAAGCCAGAGCGGGGTGGGGGGGGGACACGAGCAGCTGTCCCACACCAGCGGGAACCCGGACTCAGCCGCCACACGTGGGGTCTGAAGGCCCCTCCCGCCACGCCTCACCCCACATGGCTCCTGCCTTCCCGCCCCGTTCACGCTCCTCGGGCCCCATGCAGGCCCCCGCACTCGGTGACCAATGTGCCCCATTCACCCAGGACCCTCCAGCTCTACGCACCGGAAGTCCCACCCAGAGGGCCTACTCTGTCCCTGCAAACCAGTCGGGGCCCCGCCCTGCGCGGGAGGCACCCTTCGCTTGGCCGTAAGCAAAGCTGGACAAGTACGATGAGACAGGAGGACACAGGTCCCTTTCAGTGCCGAGAGTGCAGCCCACATGCATAGCAGGTCCCGCTGCATGTCTGCTTCCCTGATGACCTAACAGCCGCTCCCCTCCCCGGTGAGCAAGCCTGGGCAGGACGCACAGTCTACCACCGCTGTGTGCACGCACCACGATGGGCCACAGAAATGTCAGCAGGGTGAATACTGTGTGTTTCTAGATCAGGGCCCCTCCGGACCTCCGCCATCCTCAGGGCAGCAAGAGTCCCTGTGACGGCAGCCTCGCCCCTGCCCACAACAGGAGCCTCCCGGAAGGTCAGTGTCCACCTGTGCCCGGGAAATCCAGATTCTCATGAGGCTCCGTACCCACTGCGGCCATCGTGCCCACCGTCTCCCGAGTGGCCGGCTCCTAACACGGCTGAATTAATTAGTTGGAGAATCAAGCTCCTTAAAAGAGCAGTGTGCATGGGCGCCTGGGTGGCTCAGTTGGTTAAGCGACTGCCTTCGGCTCAGGTCATGATCCTGGAGTCCCTGGATCGAGTCCCGCATCGGGCTCCCTGCTCGGCAGGGAGTCTGCTTCTCCCTCTGACCCTCCCCCCTCTCATGTGCTCTCTGTCTCTCTCATTCTCTCTGTCTCAAATAAATAAATAAAATCTTTAAAAAAAAAAAAAGAGCAGTGTGCACACAAAGGGCATTTTTACAATATGAAGAAGGAAAAGAAAACCAAGGCTGTGGAAAGAAGGCTGGCAACTCAGGAGTCTTCTGGAACTTTCCCAGGGGCATGGTTCGTAAGTTCCCAGGGCACTTCCGGTCTGAGAGGAGTTGGGGAGGGAGCGGGGGGTGGGGGAGAGACAGCAGGAAGCAGGGGGTGGGGAGCACTGGGGTGGGCCCTCACTCCCGGGATGACCTAGGAAACAGAGTGCTCCCTCCACTTACTCCCCACAGTACTTGGAAAATAGAATGAGCAGATGAGGCGCTGCCTGCTCCGAAATCGAAAACCTCATACGCCAGGGTTTGCATGTTTCATGGCTGGGGCTGGTGGGGGACCCTCTGGGGGCCCATTCTATGAGCTATGACAATTTAGCAAGGGCCAGCCCCAAATCAGCTCACAAAGGGTGTAGGGCCATGTCCTCAAAGGCCTGCTCATTCCATCCCTCACTCATTCACTGCTATGGTCATTGGCACTAATCTCTACATGAGACGGACCCCACAGGGTCTCACAGTGATTTCTGGGCTCTGTCCCCAGACCAGCATGTCTGGGAGCTCCACGGTCCCCAGCCAGCAGCCAGCCTAGGGCACAGCTCCCGCCCTCCAGTGCCAGACCCGACCGAGGCCTCTCCCACCCAGGGAGGCTGGGGCCAGGCCGAGGGGAGATGGAGTCATGGGGTGGGGCAAGCTCAGCCACCTGCAGAGCCCCCTGGGCCACACCAGCCTCCCTCTCCAGAATGCAATCCCTAGTTCACACCTATAATGCGTTTGTTTTGGTGAAAGAAATCTGCTTCATGGACCATTTGGTGGGCACTGTATTAGCTTGTCAAGTGCATCACATGGGAAATGAAGCAGGTCCATGGGGATTTCACATGATGCTCAGCTCGGGTTTGGGGACTCAGCCCTGTGAATTCGGTGTCACGAAAGCTCTTTCAGTGCATGAAAATCGCTGCCATTTTTGCTTTATTCCACTTTTTTCTCTGTGCTCTCTGACTGCTAAATCCTTCTAACCAGAAGATGGGCTCCCCGCATCACCTCAGGTGTGAGAGTTGAGCCCCCCTAGACAGGACGAGATGTAGGGGCACGAGGGGAGCCGCGGAGACCGCAGACAGCCACCATGGCCTTGCTCCGAGGACGCGGAGCCCCCAGCCCCGCCAGGAAGGGTGGCGCCGGGCCAGCGACTGTCCCTGCCCCGAGAATAGGGTGAAGGAGGATGTGAATCTCAGGGCCAATAGAGCGAAGGTGGGACCACAGGCTCACAGGTAACAAGCGGAGCGTGTGCGAGTGTGCTTACCTGTTCTGACGGTCAACGTGGCAGTGACGTTGACCCCGCATGCCTGGTAGCTGGTCTTCACTGCATACAGCTCTCCGGCCTCCAGCCCGGCCACCTGCAGGGTCCTCCCCGTGGTCCTGGCGCTCTGGAGGAGCTCCCCCTCCTTGTAAACCCGCACGAGGAACATGCGGTGCCGGGTAGAATTTAAACTCCAAGACACCCAAAAGCTGCTGCTGGTGACGTTGAGGGTCACGTAGTCCCGGATGGGAGGGCAGTCTGTGAAGCACAGAACAAGTGAGATCAGCAAATCAAAGCAAAATTCATCACTGGAAAACGTCAGACTAAGATAAAAACACTTCTGCATAGCAAGGGAGACCATCCACGAGATGAAAAGACAGGCTACAGAATGGGAGACAATATTCACAAATCATTTATCTGATAAGGGGCTGATATACAAGATGTGTAAAGAACTCCTACAACTCAATAGCAAAAACAAAACAAAACAAAACAAAAAAACCCCACACAATCCAATTAAAATATGGGCAAAGGATCCGAACAGACTTTTCTCAGAAGACGACAACCGGATGGCCAACAGACACACGGAAAGGGGCTCACTGTCACTGGTCATCAAGGAAATGCAGATCAAAACCACCATGAGATACCACCTCACACCTGTCCCAACGGCTAAAATCAAAACCACAAGAGATAAGACTCTGGCGGGATGTGGACAGAGGGAAACCCTCCTGCACTGTTGGTGGGAATGCGGTGCAGCCACTCTGGAAACAGTGCGGAGGCTCCTCAAAACATTCAAAATAGGATGACCCCAGGATCCAGCGATCCCACTGCCAGGTGCATAGCCACAGGGATGGAGACCACCTGCATGGCGTGGCTTCTCCCGGCCCTCCGAGAGACACCTGCCGCCGCCCCTATCTGGGCCCAGGGACACCGGCTCTGGACTTCTGCCCCCCGGGGACACCCCAGAGCTGTGACGGGGTTGGGTGCTGTGGTTCTCGGCATCTGGTCTGTGCTGTTTTGTCACTGATGTCCAGGAACTGAGTTCTTCTTCCGCTAGCTTTCAAGGCCGCGACTGGCAGGACCGTGATGCGTGTTGGAAGATCTTTACGGCGCTGCCCACCAGCCACCTTCTAACATTCGAAGGCTGATCCCACCTCTGTGACCCAGAGGAAATCATCCTTCGACCCCTTCCCTCCGTCTTCCCTCTGACGTGGATTTTCGTCCTTCGGTCACAGGACACCTTCTCGTTGCCCACTAGCTTTCCGACGTTCCTCTTAAAATGTGGCCCCAGGGGTGCCTGGGTGGCTCAGTTGGTTAAGCGACTGCCTT